GCAAGACCCTCATCTTTACTAAAAAATAAAAAAATTAGCTGGACATTGTGGCGGATGCCTGTAGTCCCAACTCCTCAGGTGGCTGAGGCAGGAGGATTGCTTGAACTTAGGGGTTTGAAGTTGCTGTGAGCTAGGCAGATGCCAGGGCACTCTAGCTAGGGCAATAGAGTGAGACTCTTATTCAAAAGTTTCTACTTGACAAAGAGGTTAACTTCCAAGGTCATAATCTATTAAGTGGCTGATAATAAAAAATAAAGTCTGTCCAGTTACAGAGTCCATACTCTTTTCTAGAGACATGTAAGAAAATATGTAAGCGGCTGGGCAGAGTGGCTCCTGCTGTAATCCTAACACTCTGCGATGCTGAGGTGGGAGGATTCCTTGAGCGCAGGAGTTTGAGACCAGCCTGACCAAGAGTGAAACCCTCCTCTTTACTAAACACAGAAAAATTTATCTGGTGGCAGACACCTGTAGTCCTAGCTACTTGAAAGGCTGAGGCAACAGGATCACTTAAACTCAGGAGTTTGAGGTTGCAATGAAACTGTCTAAATTAAGTAATAAACAAATAAAATACTTTAAGCTACTGGAGATGTTCACCTGTGAAGATGCTGGCCGGGTGCGGTCCTGCATTTCTTTTCCACTTCTTGGCCCTCTCTGCTGTGTCTCCTGTTGCTGAACCACCTGTTCACTGATATGCAGCGCTTTGGAAACATGGGCTGAATCCTACCAACTGCATCCAAACTCTTAAAACATTTTCTGTTTGTGACCTTGGCCCTTCTCATGTTTCAGAATTTGGGGTACATTCCTGTGAGGCTGAATTAAAGAAGGCAATATGGTTTCTGGCAGTGTATCTCAAAGTAAGAAATATCAATACATTTGCTGTGATTGGTACAATGGAAACATGTTGAGGGTCACTCTGCTGGTTTCTGTTGTACGTCTTTTCTTAAAATGCTGATTGCCGGGCAGCACCTGTGGCTCAAAGGAGTAGGGCGCCTGCCCCATATCCCAGACATGGCGGGTTCAAACCCAGCCCTGGCCAAAAAGAAATGCTGATTGCAAATCCCAAGATTCTGCAAATCACTAAGTTGATCTCTTGACCAGTAGTAATACATCACAAAGTTGTAAATACTTCATCATGGTGGAAGGGTTGAGTTTTTGAGTTTGGGGCACTCGAGTTCAGAGAGCAGCGAGATTGGGAATGCATCCACCCCCTCTCCCTGCCTCCTGGCGCCTGGTTCCAGGGATTCCCTTGAGTGTTAGCTTTACCTATGATTTAAAAGCAGTCATCCATGTACAAATTCCTTCTAATGTTATATTAGGTTAGGGGTTGCAGTA